GTATTCAGCTTCATTGTTTGTGGCCGGAAAAGTAAATGCTACGGAGTAACAAAAGACTTGTTGATCAGGGCTAACTAAAACGATCTCTCCCCCGACACGTATAGCGGTAGAGGACCCATCGACGTAAAGAGTCCAAGTTGGGTCTTCGACTGATGCGTTTATGGATGGGGTAAATTCAGCTATGAAGTCGGACAACACCTGAGCTTTGATGGCAGTTCGTGGTCGATATTGAATATCAAATTGTCCGAGATCTATAGCCCATTTGATCATTCTACCCGATGTGTCGGGTCGGTGAAGGACTTGTCGGAGAGGGTGCGACGTGAACACAATAATAGAATGCTCTAAAAAGTAGGGTCGCAACTTACGTGCAACAATGATCAGAGCAAAGGCTAATTTTTCCATATATGGATATCGCACTTCAGCATCATGTAGGGCCTTGCTAACATAATATATTGAAAATTACTGGAGTCCGTCTTGTCGTATGAGGGCAGCACTGACGGCAACACTACCAACTCCCAAATATAAATATAAGGGTTCATCGGGAAGAGGTTTCTGCAACGTCGGAAGTTGTGAAAGGACTTCTTTAATATTGTCGAAGGCATTCTGGCACTCAGCGGTCCATTCAAATGGTTTCTTCTTTCCGATAGCATCAAAGAAGGGTTTGCAATGGTCTGTTGACTTTGAGATGAATCGATTTAAATCAGCTAACCGGCCAGTTAACACTTGGACACCACTGACGAACGTCGGAGGAGCCAAATCTAGTATGGCTTGAATCTTCGCGAGGTTGGCTTCGATTCATCTCTGGCTCACCATGTATCCTAAAAATTTTCCTGAGCCGACCCCAAAGGTGCACTTTTTAGGATTAAGTACCATTGAATATTCTCGGAGGATGTTGAAGACGTCGGAGAGATGAGCGATATGATCGTTTGCCTGTTCCGACTTCACCAACATGTCGTCAATGTATACTTCCATCGTGTGTCCGATCAATTGGGCGAACATTTTGTTGACTAGCCTCCGATATGTGGCTCCAGCATTCTTCAATCTAAAAGTCATCATAACATAGCAATAAAGACCTCGGGCCGAATAAAACGAAGTATGTTCAGCGTCATCGGGGTGCATGGGAATTTGATTATAGCCGGAATAGGCGTCCAAAAAACTCATAAGCTGATGTCCCGATGTGGCATTTACCATATAATCGATATGTGGGACTGGATAACTGTCTTTCGGGCACGCTTGATTCAAATCTGAGAAGTCAATGCATAGGCACCAAAGGCCATTGCTTTTCTTGACCAAAATTGGGTTCGATATCCACGTCGGATACTTGGCCTCTTTGACGAACTTATTGTCAATGAGTTTGTTTACTTCCTCTTCCAATGATTTCTGACGATCAGGTCCAAACTTCCGGCGTTTCTGTATGACGGGCTTAACAGTCTTATCCAGATTCAGTCGATGGCATGCTTTCTGAGGGTCTATTCCCTTCATGTCTTCATGTTTCCACGCAAATACGTCGGGGTTCGATCGAAGGAATTGAATCAGTTGGGAGCGTATTGGTTCTTGAAGGTTGGCTCCGATACGCAGCGGTTTTTCTTGAGCGAGCTCATCTACGTAAATAATATCAACGTCTTCAACAGGTTCTGCCCGAACGTGGTGACTCTTATCTTTAAATTGCATCCTTGGATCTATATCTTCATGTATCTTAATATCCTTCTTATGAAGCTGTTGTTCTTGGTCGTGAACTCCATCCGACGTGTTAGACAATTTCGACATCATAGGGACGTCGGTATCAAGTTCAGAGGGGACGTCGGTACCCGAAGTTGATTGATCCGTCACTTTGGCATCGGAGAAAATTGAGTCTATCAAATCAGTTTTAACAGAATCAACAGTTTCATGTGCTTCATATGCATGAACATTGCGTGAAATCGGAGTCAATGTCAAATTTCGCACCTCTTGTTGATCTCCGTAGTGAGTACCTTCTCCTTCGATGGTAGGAAATTTCAATGCATAATGGAAAATCGACACAGCAGCACAAAGTTTATAAAGAGCAGTACGTCCTACGACAGCATTGTACTCATTTTGAATATTCATGACTTTAAAGGTTTCTATAATGATTTTGGATTTTGGTCTGAAGCCCCCAAATCGAATGGGAGTAAGATTTCACCAAGGGGACAAGAAATGCTTCCGTTGAAGCCCTGTATCTGATCATTGCAAGGCCTAATATCAGCAGGATCCAAACCCAGTTTCTTGAAAGTACAAAATCAAAATGCTCGAATAAGCTCCGGTGTCAACCATAATTCGGTGAACAGGAATTCCTCTAATTGGAGCAGTAATAATGAGAGCATTAGAGTGTAGGTGAGCGAACAAATTGGCATCTTCGATATTAAAAGTGATGGGACAATTCTGTTTATTAATGGTATCTCGAAGATCAACGTTCATGACTTGCTTCCCGGCGTTTTGTGCTTCTCGAGCGTAGGCTTTGGCTTTTCGCCGAGATGTATCCAACTGTTTAATGTTGGAATTTATTCAAGGTATGTAATGAGAAGAATTCATTGCATCATGGGTTCTGGGTTTTCTGGATTCATCGGTCGGGGTTCCGACAAGATTAGAAAATGTAAAAACCTCCTTGTCAGTTGCGCGGATTCTTTTCGAATTGGCGCCTCGATCATCATCATACTCTTCATCCGAGACGTCTGTGGGCCTTCCTTTGCGACGGTTATCAAAATTCCTAAATTTTTTAAGTTGAGGCTGTCCGATTAGACGCAGGAGAGCCGATAAGAGGCCAAGACACTCCTCGGTATTATGTCCTGGGGACTTATGGTACGCACAATAACGAGTTTTGTCAAGCTTATCTTCAGGAGTTCTCACAGGTTTTGGGTCGGGGATGATTCCTTTTCCTTCCAGTTCTTCAAAAATAGTGGCTGCTCCAGCTGAATAAACTGTTTGGTAACCTGTTCTTACATTGTCGGCATACTGATATCGGGCAGCTTTAGATTCGGGAGTGTCTTCATAACCTTTCGAATAACCCCGATATTGAGTTTTTCCAAAGTTCTTCTTATTCTTTTTCTTTGTCTCCGGTTCGGACTTATCTTCCAGGATCGAGAAGTCGAAACTGGGGACCGACATCGACTCTTCGGCAATGATGAATTATTGAGCACGCACGAGGAATTCTTGAAAGGTAGCCGGCTTGTTTTGACAAAGAGTCCAACGAAACATAGAATTAAGCTTTAACCCAACAATTGCGGTTACCAACAAAGTCTCGGGATGGCAAGGTTCTATATTTTGAATTTGGTCATTGAACCGAGATATATTGTCCTTGTGTACGATGTTAGTTATTGATTCTTTCGGGATGAGACAAACTTGAGCCCCGATAAAATGTGATCGGAAGGCTGCACGTAACTGTTGCCACTTCCATATTGAATGAGGTGGTAGAGTGTAGTACCATTTTTGTGCCCGCGGTCCCAATGTGAGGGAAAACATCCGACATCTCAAAGCATCAGATGCGCCATGCAAATCCATCCAAGACGTATAATGACCCAAATGCGCATCAGGATCTGAAGTTCCATCATACATGCCAATTTGTGGAATTTTTATCTTAGTGGGAAGTGCCTCTGCAGTAAGTTCAGGAGCCAAAGGTGAATCAGCTTCAACGATAACATTACCCGATGTCGAGACATGTCGGGGGGATTCTTCATGTGATTTCTGTCGAGTTTCTATTTCAGCCAGCCTTTTACGGAGAGCTTCTAATTCCTCCGAACTATGTCTTGACACACGATTTTGTTCAATCTGATGACGTAAATCTTCACGACCTCGAGGCAACGGTGAGGGGGGTCTAAGACGTGAAGGAACTCTGTCATGATGGTCAGAATGGCTTTCAGCAGTCATTTCCTGAACAGGAGGCCCATGCGTGCCAAGATTATCTGGTAGTGGATTTACAGTTATACGAGTCATCTCATCTCAGTGTTGAGAAGTATGACGTGGTTGTGAGGTGGCATGTGACGCTGCTATATGTGTTTATTGGTTATGATGAGCAGGATTTGGTTGTTCCGTTGGATTCGTAGGAAAAGGTGTAGGTAATGGTACAGTGCTCGAAGCTCTAGGCATAGCTCGAGCTATAAGAGACGTTAATCCTTGAATGAACTCTGGATCTTGGAGGAAATTCGTAATATTGGTTGTTTGAGGTGGTGGCGTCGAACGAATCGTGGAAAGATTCGTAGCATGGCTTTGCCCAGCATGGGAGGTATGATCTCGACCAGATTGTGACATGGAGATTTAAGCAAGCGATGGCTATATCAGTGAAGATTAACCTCAAAAACTTATGAGGCCCTTCCTCTAGTGCCAAACTGTTGTTAATTGTGAATTAACAATGAGTTATTAACGCAAGTTGTATTAATTATCAACGAAATTCTCGTCTTTACAAGAGGGTAAAACATGTTCTTTTGAATGAGAAAGTTCTTATTTCACGTCTGTCTCTGTCTTCTAAGAAGCTTCTTTTACCTGTTTTTTATAGTACAGTACAAGATCATCGAAACTATGATAATTCTCCAAAAAAAGTCAATGGCGGCTGATTGCCACTTATTCTTGTAACACGCCACTTGGCAAAGCGTAATGATGATTTGCTGAGTTGGCACTGCCTCGTGATGTCGGTCTGTCATGTCATAGATATTGGTTCGCTAGGCCATAACTGATATGAGATGTCGGTTTCTTGACGACGACTTTGGTACTCGGCTCATTCTTATCCAACTTGTGATTACTTGAAATTCATGAGTATATCAACTTCTGAGATAACATAATCTTCTAATTACTGAGCTCCTGGTGCCAATAATTATTAATTATTTGTTTTAGCAAAAACCATATCAACAGCTTGAACATTTGCTTCTCATTGATCTCTTTGTCTTTGTTGCCTGAGTCATCATTGTACGTGTTGGTTTGGTCATCATTATTTTCATCGTCACAAGAATGACCTATTTGGTTCGAACAACCGGCGGTTTAATCATCAGCGCCCCGAGAATATCAGTATGTGTAAATGAACTAGGGCCTGCTTGATGTGAATATGGGGCCTCGTGAGAAAATGCAGAACCACCAACACCAAAAGAACTTGGAAATACACCTTGGGACGCCATCATTTGCGTCAAGCTTTGTTGCGCCGTCCCCGGAATCCATACATTTACTCGCTTCTCCAGCTCCATGTAAATGTTGAGATTTTTTGTTCTTCAATCAGCTCTAAGATATCGTCATTGGATTCGATTTTCATCTTCACAACTCGTTCCCTTCCATCAAATACTGCCCACAATATGTACTCAAATTACAAGGATCAGCCTTTAATAATGCTTGAGCACGAGAAACTACTTCAGAATATATTTGTTGGCTGTAATTTATTCTCATTAGCTCTGCCACTCCACCAAGATATGAACCCCCACAAAACGAACCACCAAAGTGCACCAATACTATAACATGGTTGCTAGCCATTCGAATAATAAGTGATCAACAAAAAGAATTAAAATGAAAGAAACAGAAAAATGCAGTAGATGAATGACGCTGACATTCAATTGTTAGAGATCACTGTTTTTTTTTTTCTGCCTGCATGATAAATGCATAGACAAAATCCTCACCAGTGAAAAACCAGTCAATTAATGACGTGTGTAACTTATGCGATCAAATTCCGAATAGTCGTAAAATTACCATGTCGATATGGCCAAAAAAATGGCGCGTAATCATCAATTAAATTATGCTTTATTCGATTTGGTTAAGTGATTCTTCAGTATGCGAGCGAAAAAATGTCGCATAATTGTCAATTATCCGGGGGAATATATGCGAAGGTTTTTCGCAGACTAGTAAATTATGCGATTGACTTGGATATGCAATTTCCAGAAAATGCGAATTCAACAAATTATGCGAATTATATGCGAAAGATTTTCGCACAGTCATAAATTTGCAAGGTCGATATAGCCCTGCGAAAAGAAGGCGCATAATCATCATAAATTATGTTGCATTCGATTTTGATATGTGATTCTTAAAATTGCGAAAGATGTTCGCATATTTGTAAATTATGCGTTTGATGTGGATATGCGATTACAAAAATTCGAAATGTTTTCGCCTAATCATAAATTATGCGGCCGGTTGGATATGTGCTGGTTCATTTGGACATGCGGGTGTAATATCACATAGCATTTCGTGAATTTTGGGGTGTAAAAGAAGTTATTTGATGGGGCGTTGTGTAAAAAAAAGAATATATTTATACGGGGTGAAAAAGATTTTGGCTCAAAAATTATGTGATAAATTCGAGCTTTTTGAAAAAAAAAAAAAAAAAAAA